TTCTTCCACTTTCTCACAAACGAAGTGGTACTGAACTCGAATGTGTTTGTTCTTTGAATGAAAGGCTGGATTTCTTGCTAAATGCAAAGCACTCTGACTGTCACAAAATAAAGATATATTCTTTTGTTCATAGCCGAGTTCTTCTAGCACCATCTTCAACCATATCGCTTCTTTACTGGCTTTTTTTTTTTTTAGCTTGTGTAGCTGCTACATATTCTGCTTCTGTTGTTGAAATAGCCACAACTGACTGTAGTTTTAAAACCCAGCTTACAGCCCCGCTAGCAAGTGCAAACACATAGCCTGTGGTGGATTTGCTATTATCACGATAACCTGCATAATCAGAATCAACATATCCCTTGATAATAAAATCAGATCCGCTATAACATAATACAACATTTGAGGTTCTTTGAATGTATCTTAGAACCCTCTTTACAGCATTCCAATACTCTTTACCAGGATTCGCCATGTATCGACTAATTACTCCCACTACTTGTGCAATGTCTGGTCTTATACAAATCATAGCGAACATTAAGCTTCCTACTGCTGATGCATACGGTACTCGAGACATCTCCATCCTCTCTTCTTCACTGCTAGGACTCATATTGAAGGATAACTTGAAATTAACAGGAAGTGAGGTAGAAATTGACTTACAATCTTGCATGTTAAAATACCGTAAGATTTTGTTCAAGTAATTCTTCTGAGAAAGCTAAATTTTCCTATTAATTCTGTCTCGGTAAATTTGCATCCCTAGAATCTTGTTTGCAGATCCTAAATCCTTCATTTCAAATTTCCTAGCCAACTGAGCCTTTAATTCTTTAATACGATCTTTATTGGGGTCTACAATTAACATATCGTCAACATACAACAATAAGATAATAAAGTTATTTTTACCAAACCTCTTGAAATATGCATAATGGTCTGAATTAAGCCTGTTGTATCTAAAACTCATGATGAATGAATCAAATCTCTTATACCAACACCTCGGCGCCTGCTTTAGACCGTACAGAGATTTGTTCAATCTGCAAACCAAGTTCTCTTTTCCATTCTCTTCAAAACCTTATGGTTGGAGCATGTAAATTTCTTCTTCAAGATCTCTATGAAGAAATGATATTTTCACATCTAGCTGCTCTAAATGTAAGTCAAATATAGCGCTCATAGCCAGGACTATTCGAACTGTTGTAAGTCGAACTACAGGAGAAAATATTTCATTAAAGTCAATACCTTCTTTCTGAGCATATCCTTTTACCACCAATCTAGCACGATATCACTCCACTTGATCATCACCATTTCACTTGATCTTGTACACCTATTTATTTTGAATGGTCTTTCTTCCTTGTGGTAGTGACACAAGTACCCAAATCTTGTTCTTATGGAGAGATTTAATTTCTTTCTGCATTGCTGTCATCCACAAAGATGCATCTGTGCCATTTATAGCTTCATGAAAAGTTAATGGCTCTCCATCCTTCGTTAAAAGACGGTATGCAACATTACTCTCCGTAATATACTCCGAGTGCCAAGTTGGTGGTCTTCTCTCACGAGTTGACCTTCGAATTTTTGGAGCCTCGAACTCGATCGGTTCTTGTACATCATGCTCCGGTGTTGCTTCAAAAGAATTCAGATTATCTTCTACCTGAACAGCTACAGTCTCTGAGTCCTTCCACGAATTGCTTTCTTTCTCTTTATTTTGTAGTTGGTTCTCTACAAAGATAACATCTCTGCTGATGATAACATTATAGACAGTGGGATCCCACAAGCGATACCCCTTTACTCCATCAGCATATCCTAAGAGTAAGCATTTTCTGAATTTTGAATCCAACTTTGTAATTTCTTGGGCATTGTACATTACGTACACTGGATTTTCAAATATATGAAGGTTAGAATAATCAGCTGGCTTGTCAGTTCACATCTCCATCGGCGTCTTCAACTGTATTGCGATTGATGGAGATTGATTCACCACTTAACATGCGGTTTTTACTGCTTTCGCCCAAAAGACTTTATCCATATTTGTAGTTGCCAACATAGCTCTTGTTCTTTCCAACAGAGTTCTGTTCATCCGCTCCGTCACTCCATTTTGTTGAGGAGTATAAGTCGTACTGAATTATCTTTTGATGCCTTTATGCTTGCAGAATGCTAGAAATTCACTGTCTGTGTATTCTCCTTCATTATCTGACCTCAAGCACTTGATCTTCTTCTCAGATTCAAGCTCGAACCGCGCTTTCTAGGTTTTAAAGACTGAGAACACATCCGCCTTCTTCTTGATAGGATACACCCAATATCTCCTGGAGTAATCATCAATAAAGGACATAAAATATTTCGTTCCTCTCAAGGATGTAACCGGTGCTTGCCATACATCAGAATGAACCAGTTCCAGAATAGCCTTGCTTCTAGAACTCGATGTGTTGAATTTCAATCGATGCTGCTTACTAGTAACACAATGCTCGCAGAATGAAAGAGCTACCGAATTAAGTTCAGGAAGCAGCTTCTGATCAGAGAGAATCTTCAAGCCTCGTTCTGATATGTGGCCTAGTTTGCGATGTCACATCATGGTTTGTTCTTCTTCACGGCTAGTTGATGTCACACAGGAATCAGCTTCCTGCAGGGTTTTTCCCGTGAGCATGTATAGATTTACAGCTATCTTCTCTCCTTTTATAACAACAAACGCTCCTCTAACAATCTTCATGATCCCGTTTGCTATATTGGTCTTACACCCGAGCTCATCTAATTTTCCTAAAGACAATAGATTCTTCTTCAGGCCCTTCACATGCCGCACATCTTGAATAGTGCGTATTGTACCATCAAACATTTTGATTTTGATAGTGCCAATACCAGAAATTTTTGAGGTATGATCATTTCTCGTGAATACAGATCCTCCTAAGATAAGTTCATATTTGTGAAACCATTCTCTCCGGGAGGTCATGTGCCAGGAGGCTGCTGAATCCAAAAGCTAGACATCAGCAAACCTTTTTCTGCCTTCATCAACAGTGGTTGCTCCACTGTATAAAATTTCACCATCGTTTGATGTGCTGACAACACATCCTTGAGATGTTAATGGCTCTGAAGACTTTTTATCTCCATTCTTCTTATTATACCAACACTCCGATTTGACGTGTCCCTTTTTACCACAGTTGTAGTATTTGATATTCTTCTTACTTCGTGATTTTGATCTACCATGGGTATGACTCCCACTGGAGCCACGTTCTGTTGATCTTCCTCTCGTCATTAATAAGGCCTCTGCTTGTTGCGAACTTACATGTTTGTCTTCCTTGTTCTTTCCGATTATCTTCCTCTAGAACAGCGGCTGCAACGTCGTCGAAAACTAGATAGTCTGTAAGAACGTTGTTTGTCAGGTTGATGATGAGTTGATCATACAAGTCAGGTAGACTCTGAAGTAGAAGTTCTGCACGTTCATTAGAACCAACTGTATACCCTAACGTTGTGAGTTGGAAGAACAATGTGTTTAGGGTGTTGATGTGGTCGGTCATCGATGTAGATTCTGCCATCCTAAGAGTGTAAAGTCTCTTTTTTAAGAAAATTTTATTGTGCATGGATTTCGCCTCGTATAGCTTTGTTAGAGTATCCCAGATCTCATTTGTTGTCTTCTTCTTCTCTATGCTTAACAGCACCCCGTCTACTAATGTCAGATGGAGATTTGCAATAGCATTTTCGTCCATCTCGTTCCACTTTTTATCATTTGTGATGTCGTCCGGTCTTGCACCAATGACCGTCAGACAATTATTTTTTCTCAAAATAGCATTTATCTTCAACTTTCACAGTGACAAATTACTCCCGTCGAATTTCTCGATCTTGAACTTTTCCGCCATTGCTTCTACCATGACTTCTTACTATCTCACGTAAATAGTAATTGTATTTATGAACAGTAACTGTATCCGTGAATAGTACCATACTTGTGAATAGTATCGTATTTATGAACAATACTGTACTCGTGAACAGTGCTCGTCACCTTCAAAGGGTAAATGATAACCTAAATTATTTTCTGATGTGAAGGATCTACCTTTGGTGGCAGTCACAGAACTTACGATAAGTAGATATATACAAGCACCCTAAGTTAGCTCTGATACCACTTGTTGGGACAAACCTGGGGCCCAATAGAGCAGGATCGCAACAATAGTAGTGAAAATAGAGATAAAAAAGATGGACACACAGATATACGTGGTTCGGTGTAAAATTGTCTATGTCCATGGGCAATGATAGAAGAATTCACTATAAGGAGAAAACTCTGGAGTTACAATCTCTCTTAACAAGGAGATACTCCCTCTATTTTTTTCTCTCTCACTCTTCTATATGAAGAGTTGTTTTTGGGAGGAGTTTTTCCTTAAGAATTTGAAGCCTATTTATAGTGTTTAGAAAAAACACTATGCTTAATAAAATATTAATATTACATTGTGTATCTTTTAAAATTTCCAAACTCGGTGCCTAACCCAGTACATTTTTCAAAAGTGGGGCCCACTCTTTTGCTTTTGGTCAAAAACGTGGGCTGCTGATTTCAGTGCCAGACAATTTAGCCATTACTCAAATACTACACACGCGAAAGAAAGAATTTTAGGTAACTCAATGAACATGAATGCATACCCAATTCCCAAATTTGTATAGCACTGTGACCTAAATCACGGTCAAAAATAAAACTGGTATGTGTACTTAGACTTTTAGCATAATATTAGCATGACGTCCCCAATTCCAATTTGCGAATGGATAGACCATTAATAGAAATGAACTCTGAGACCGATATCCAGTAGCTATAGTACAAACTCAATCGAACTTCACATCATTGAAAGGGATTAAGTCTGAACCAATAGTAAGCTGTACCTTTGTTTATTATGTTTCACGGCAAGTAAATATAATGCTCGTCATTTGATTTGTATACTATACATATGCCCTAGGTATGTCTTAGCTTCAGAGCATTTTGTGACATTGCCACAGAGGAAGCCTCTATCCATGTCTCACTCTTCACGTATCACTCTTCCAATGAAATATATTTAAACTACGATTACAAGATTCGTAACCTTGTAGAATAAGCTTCAAAGCTTGTCGCCTTTATCCTCTTTCATTATATTCTTCAATCAAATTTTCCCTTTTGCAAGATCAACAAATCCATTATCATTTAAAAGTGCAATAGAACTAGCAGATGTTATCAACAGAGAACATAAATCATAGGGAGATATATACGAGACCTGTAATTCTGTGAACAAATCTTTATGAAGAGTATCACAGAAAATAATGTGTGACGGTATATTTCAATTATATTTCATTTTATATTTTACAAGGTAATTTGGTATCTCAACCCTTAAGTAAAGCAATACTGGTGAGCATATGACCCTTGTAGCTGTTGTTATCTTCACTAGACCTAAGTGATAGCCTAAGTCTGAAAATTAACGATATCTTTTCTACAGTTATAATGAGCTTGGAGTATAAATTAAGTCACATTGCAACAAAATAATCACTTTGCATATAGAATGCTTTACCCCTTTGGTACTGTGGCATATTACAAGCTCAAGCCGAAAAAAGAAGAAAAAGCAGGCTTTACCTTCAAATGAAGTCAGGATGGACCTCCTCTTCAACAATGAAGTCATTAAACATGTTCTCTTTCACATCCAATAGCTCACTGTCATTGCGATCAAACTTTGAACCGACCCCTTTTCCTTCTTCTTCTTCTAAATAGTTGCTCCATTTTGATGATCCTCTCTCTATGGCAGCCCTCTGGCACTTCGCAGATCCATTGTTCCCTGCAACAAATAAATTGGATCGATGATTATGTGGAGAAACTGAAAGTTAGTGATTTGAAGAAAAATACCTTGAAGGGATTCATTGTGCCTCTTCTTTGAAAAAATTGGCTTCAAATTTCTATTTCCATCGACAGGCTGATTCTGATGCAACTTTGAGGGGCGTTTTGGGAAGATTCGTCTGAACTTTTCCTGTGGCAATTCCGTCGTGACCACCAACCCAGAACACTCCCCTGCAACATATTTCCATGAGGGCATCTTGGAATCAAATGAATATCCAGAAGTATGCATATCCCCGATACTGCAAAAATAGCTTATTGAAAACATACATTTTGATGGCGGCAATTTGGGAATCAAGGAAGTGAACTGTTTAGTGTTTTTGTAAAATTATAATAAATTGTTTTTAGCAAAAAAATAATCATAAAATTTCAAATTAGCAGAAAAACTAATACATGCTATAAGAAAACTACACTGAATTAAATAACATGAATGTCTATTTATATTTTACTGAATATTATAAATTTTCAGACAAATCATCAAACCCTAGGAAATCTACGAATAACTATTATGTATTTTTGTTTAGTACACAAACATTTTCTGTTGATTTGAAACTTTATGATATTTCCCTGCTGATTTGAAACTTTATGATATTTTCCTCTTAACAAAACAAGTTTGTACTGTTTTATACAAAATTCAGAATATTGCACCATAGTGTTGATATAAGAAACAGACCACAGCAGGATATTGAGATCTTAGTAGCCAGAAAACAAGTTTTTTGGTAGAAAAACTATTAATTTACCTTTAATTCACTAAAAATTGACAAAAGCTTATCTTTATTATTTAAGCTTTTCTTTTACCTATATTCCCAACAAATCTATCCTATTGTAGATTTACTTTCAAAACCTGCATATTTATAAAATTTACCTCATATTCACCCGAATCGAACTTTTCAAACAGTGTTGATAGGTGGGACATTTCAAACTCAACATAAAAAAAATGTAGGAGTCAATTAGTAAATATTCACAAATTTAAGTGTAAATCTGCAAATAACATAGTTTAAAGTATATATAGATTAAAAAAGAGTTTTTCCTAGAAACCATTTTTAAGGTAACTATATGAAAACCATCTTTTATTACAATTTATACATAAACCACCTTTAAAGTTGGTTTTCGTTAAAATCAACCGGCTCGTAGTCAAAATTTTCACAAAAAACGCAAAACTACCCTTAAAAACTCATATTCAAGGCACATGACTGTTTCTTTCAGTGTCTAGGTCTTGTTAGAATACAACTCAGGTACATTGAACTTGAATTTTTCAATCTTATTTTTGATTTTTTGGTGAAAGTTTGTGATTGATTGTAACAAAAACAACTTTAAAGATGGTTTATGCGTAAAATAAAAATAAAAGGTGGTTTCTATATGATTACCCTACTTTTAAGGTGATTTCTAGGGGAAAAAACAAGCAATTTAACATCAAAAGGACAAAGCTCACCTCCCTCTTCCTTCTCCTCCTCTTCTCTCTCTTCAACATCCAAATACTCACTCCAATCCCTCCTCTTCTTCTCCCCTCCTCCCTCCAATCTCTCCGATATCTCCGGTCGCAGCGGCGACATCCACCCCGATCCCTCTGATCCCCCCCCCCCCCCCGCCGCCGATCTCGAGGAATTGAACCCCTGAACGAATCCCCTAACATCCTTGGCCTTGTACCCTCGAGCGTGGATTTGCCGAACCGATTGCTTCTCGCCGCAGATCACGCACACCCATTTGTTGCTGCTCTTCTTCTGCTGCTTAACCTGATCCGCAGGAACAGTAGAACGGTGAGGAGAGGGTTTTTTAGGGTTAGGGTTTGGATTTGGGGGCAGCTTTTTACCTGCATCGTTGAGCAGTTGAAGCATTGTACTGCGATGAAGAGGATCGACATTTTGCCGCTATTTTCAATTTTTTTGGGGTTTTTTGTCGATTTTTTTAAAGAAATTTGGGAGGGGTTTTTTTTTTTTAAAGCGGAGGGTTGGTTTCGAAAATTGAAACGCCATTTTGGTGGAATATTATATATTTATTTGCCCGCGCTTTTGCTAGGAGAAGCTTGGGCCGGTCCTATTCGTTTGGGATGTTACATGGGCTGAAGTTACTAGCTGGGAAAGGCCTACTAAGGGGCTGTTCGTTTCGAAAAATAAACTAGGAAATCAAAGAATAGGAAATCAAAGAATAGAATTTCTTGTATTATGATTGTTTGGTTGGTTAAAAAAAGAAGAAAATTAAAGAATAGGAGATGAGATGAGATGAGTTGTCACCATATTATTGGATGATGTGAGTGATTTTTTAAGAAAACTTGTTTTGAGGTTGTTTGGTTGGTTAAAAAAAATAAGGAAATATATTATAAGAAACTTATTTCCTATAATGATTTCTTTCTTGTGTTTGGTTCATTCTTAAAAATAAAAAAATAGATGAGATGAGATGAGTTGTTTGTATATTATTGGATGATGTGACCCACACTTAAGGAAATCAATTTCCTTTTTTTTTGAGGAAATGGGTGGAAATAAAATGTTAATGAGATGAGATGAGTTGTCACCATAGTATTGGATGATGTGGGTGATTTTTAAATATGAGATGAGATGAGTTGGATGATGTGACCCATTTCTTGTGTTTGGTTTATTTTTAAAAGTAAGAAAAGATATGAGATGTGATGAGTTGGTGGATAAAAATAATATTTTATTGATAAAAGTGTATGGATTTCTTTTTATTGGGATGAGTTTTAGGGATGAAAATAGATTATAATAATATTTTAATACAAAAAGTACATGGAAATCCTTTTCTTGGTTTTTAGGAAACCAACCAAACAGCCCCTAAATAGACTTTTTTTTGGGCGCGTATATATTCTGTATATATAGAATATGATCCTAACGAACAACCTTACATTGAATCTAAAGATGCACCTCACGATGCATGGATTAGGCTATTTCAATGGACGATCCGCTCCATTTATTATGATCTAAATATCTTAGAAATTTTATAAAATAAAAATCATAATTTTTAAATACTTCTAACACATTTTTTCATTGTCTTTTTAAGTGTACTGTCATAAAATCATTAATTTTACAATCACTTGATGCATGAGTAACTACAATCCAACATGACTAGTTTTTTGTTTATACACCATCCAAAAGATATAGATCAAAATGAATGGAGTGGATTAAGTAATGTGATTGTTGCATATATTGTAATTTTCAAGATGCATCCTTAGATTCAATCTAAGATGGCTCCTTAGAATCATATTTCCTGACATATTTACATATATACCATCTAAAATAATAGGTATTTTTAGAATTAACCTCTAAAATCATCATAATTGCTACATATACCCCCATATGGGAGTCATCTCCCACTCTTAGTCCATCCTAACTTTTTTTCTTCTCTCCTATTTCATCTTTAACCTTTTAAACCGGGTACTAAACAATGCTCTAATAATAGTAAAATTTAAAATTTTTAATTAAGGACCTAAAATAAAGAGTAATTTGGTATTTTGTTTTGGAAAAATGTTTGTTTTTTCATCAAAATATCTCAATTATATCCCTCGTAAAGTTATGATGAATGGTGAAATTGAAAGACCACCTAGACCTAGAGGGTAAAACGCAACTAGAATGATTTCTTGGGTGAGTTAAGAATATCTATAATGTGGAGGATATATATATGAAAAATATATATATATATTTATATGAAGCTTTGACAACAATACCATATTACGTACATATATGCATCATTTTCAGTGTGAACAATCCTCAGCAAACAAAGGAACAGAAGAACCCCCAACCACTCTAATCACCCTGGTCTAAACAAATTCTCCACCTGTTACTTTACTTAACTTTGATTCCGGCGAAATAATAATAATAATAGTAATAGTAGTAATAATAATGTGTATGAAAATGAAAACGAGCTTAATTATATTAAGTCCTCAAACCAAGCTATTGACCTTTTTCTCAGATTAAGGAGTTAAAATATTCAATCTAAGGTTGTAACCATATAATGAAGAATAATGAAGACATCATTGTCTCGTGTTGTATCGTTGGGGCATTAGGCAGAGACAAGGTGAGTAAAAATTTTATCAGGACATGCCGCATAGAAAAGAGTTCATAGATTTTAAGCGTCAATTCTTTCTATGATTCAGAGCTCGCATGCAGATGCTCTGATAAGATTTGTATTCCACTACAGAGTAAGGCAAATGTGGGAGAAAGACGAATGTGGCGTCAAAAATTGGTGAAAGGATATTCTCGTTTTTGTGGTACGTCAATTCTTTTTATGATTTAGAGCTTGCATACAGATGTTCGGGTAAGATTTGTACTCAACTAAGGAGTAAAACAAATGTGACGTCAAACATTGGTGTAGGGATATTCTCATTCTTGTCAAACACTCAAAAGAATGCATCAGTTTGAAACAAGACATGTCAATTGAGGAATAGGAGATGGAATATGAGATTCAAGTAGAATTGAGGCAGGGAGGTAGCTAACCAAAAAAAAAAGTATTAAATAAACCATTACTATCATAAAGCACAATCAACAATTAGTAGACAACAGAAAGCAACATCAAAGCTCAACAAAGTCAGAGACAGAATGTTAACAATGACAACTTAAACCTGTACTTAAATTAGATGGGGCTCAGATAATTCAACTAAAGAGGAGTTAAATATTGCATAATTTTGACTTTTAAAGCATTTTGATTGCATAACGCACAACCACCCTACCCCACGAAAAAGCTACACCTGCTTATATTTATGTTAAATATATCACAGTTCAGAAAATCAACATAACATGTATATCAAAACCCCGAAAAAAGTTGTATCCTCTTTCCCGTGACAAGGTATAAACTGTAAATTATGTCATTTGTTAGCACCAAAAGTAACAGGAGCCTCCTGATCAGAGTTCTAAGATGCGGATGCAATTCCTGATTTTAAGATGCAGATGCAATTCCTGGTTCAACTTCAGGTACAAGCTTGACACTTGACAGTCTCTACAACATCCCAGCTCAGTCGCGACACGAACTCATCAGGCTTTGGCGCGTACTCCTGCAAAATACGCAAAATTAAGAGCATCGGTGAAGAAATTTTACGCGATGATTGATTGCATAATTACTTGATATAGCTACATATCAGTGCATGGTGATAATAGAAAAAGATAAATGCACAAATTTCTTTCGCCAAAACCAGGGGTAGAGCCAGAAGTTGTCTTTGTGGTGTGTGTGGGGGGGGGGGGGGGCGGCTAAGAAGGACAATAATCTATTACATTATATTCACTCTTATTTATTTCATATAAAGTGCACTAAATTCAAACCAAATTTGTATGTTTTTTCATTCAAAGATATTCATAATAAAATGCATATACTAAAGGTCATATGACAATATGAAACAATGTAAGAACGAGAAATAGATAAAAGACCTATCAAAAAAGATGCACCCTACGACTAATTTAGAAACAATTGAGCGACATTTAACAGCATCAACTTCCTCTGTGATCATGTCAGTGGTAAAAATTCTATGCAAGTTCCTTTTCAGTGTAAACAACCAGGTTGTCTGCAAGAAATCTTTCAGTCATCTTGTTGCGAGTAGTTTTCAGTGTAAACAACCAGGTTGTCTGCAAGAAATCTTTCAGTCATCTTGTTGCGAGTAGTAGCAGTAGACACATCAAGTGTTAAACAAGATGAGCCAATCTATCAATTAAATTGTAGACTTGTTTTCTTTCATGTAATTGATTGATAGTCCCGGCACATTGTATTTTTTTTTTTTGGGTATTCCAAAACTAAAACCTACTAAAAATCTCACACGCTGGTTAATGAATATACCTACAAATTTTCTATTCCATTATAATATATAGTGGGGCCTACGTGCTCTTACTTCTTCCTTTCCTAAATCCTAACGTATTCTGTTTTATTCCTATTAGCATGTGAAGTGGGGTTTTCATCCTTTTCTAATCTCGTTTATCACGGTCATCGGCTAGCTATTTTATTCATACATATGGTACGCAATAGGTTAAAAACTTCATTCAAAACTTTTTTTTTTTTTGCGGGGGGGGGGGGGGGGTGCCAAAGCCCCTGATTTATTGGAATTGTCATAACCGACATTAATGTAAAGGGTGAAAGGTCTAACTACCTTTATTAATATCTACCAAGCCTAACAAGTCACCTGTGACACAAGTGACAGCTTAATTTGTCGGTAGACATGGTATTTAGTATAAGAAGTTGAGGAGGTTTTCACTAATTTATAACGTTAATTTAGATGTGGGTTTGTGTAAAAATCCTATAGTTCAGAGGGATTATGAAATTTACCCAGGATTTTATTAGAACAGATAGCATATCGCAAGCGAAAGAAGTTCGCTTACTCTCAACTAGAAACGCTATCTAATTGTATTCTATTTGATCCAGTCAAGTGTAAAAGACTTACAAACTAACTACATTGTGATCATTGTATTTATTCATGGAAAAAGTACGCCAGATATTATGCAAACTGTTCAAAATTGAATTTTAGTTTTAACAATTTGTAAATGAAGGAATTTTTTCCATGAATAAAATGTTGACCCGCAATGTTATGTTAAGTTGGACGTATACGAGTTCTATTTTGATATTATTTACCTCCAACTTCATGACCAATTCCTTAGCCGACGGCGCAGACACTATGATGCTTCTTGCATTGCTTGATATAAACCCTTCGCCAACAGCCAAATCAATGAAGGACAGCAGTGAATCATAAAACCCATCAACATTCAAAAGCCCCACCTGCCATAATACATATACATGTTAGAATATATGTTAATATATTTTGTATTAGGCAATTATATTAGTAATCTTGTATATTTGTTAGGAGTATATTTAGTTCCCATAATTGTAGCCTAAGATTACGTAATTGTAGCCTAAGATTAGTCTTGTACTATGTGTATATAAGCCTAATCAAGTGAATGGAATAATCAAGGAATTAACTTCTTTCATGGTATCAGAGCCCTAGGGCACGATTCTCTCCTCTCCTTCCTCTTCCGCGGTGCCCTAGGTCATCTCCATCTCCATCTCAGAATTCTCATTCATGTCTTCCTCCATGGCTGACTCTAAAAACTCCTTTCACCCGGCCCTTGCTGTGTCAAACATCAAGAACCATATCTCTATTACTCTTGAGATGGAAAACGTCCAGTATTCGACATGGGCGGAACTTTTCAAAATCACCGCTCGTTCTCACCGTGTAATCCACCATATCATCACGCCGGAGAAAGGGACCGTTAAGGCTCCGGAGACTGATGCTGAGAAGGAGTTGTGGTCAACTCTTGATGCTACAGTTCTCTCTTGGATATATGCTACAATATCCAATGATCTTTTGCACACCATTATTGAACCCGATGCGACGGCAATGGAGGCATGGAACCGTCTACGTAACATCTTCCAGGATAACAAAAACTCAAGGGCGGTGGCTCTTGAGCAGGAGTTCTCAACCACAAAAATGGAGGATTTCCCGAATGCCTCTGCGTATTGTCAGCGCCTCAAGGTATTAGCCGATCAATTGAAGAATGTTGGGGCTCCTGTATCAAACAACCGTCTCGTCCTTCAAATGGTTGCAGGTCTCACTGAAGCATACAAGAATATTGGTACGTTACTTCGTCAAAGTAATCCTCTTCCCCCTTTTTATGAAGCACGTTCTAGTCTCTGTCTCGAAGAAAAGGGATTAGCAAATTCGATCTCCACCGCCTCTGCCATGGTTGCTGCTAGGGAAGTAGACGATGCTTCCGATAATTATTCCCATCATAATAATCATAATCGTAATAATGGTGGAAAGAAAGGGAATAATAAAAACTACGGCAACAAAAACCGCGGAGGTGGCCGCGGTGGTGGTGGCGGCAAAGGTGGAAGCAACCGCTCAGGGGGTGGCGGCGGTGGTGGACAGCAGCACTCCGGCCAGCAGGTCCCGCAGTGGTTCCAGGCAGTTGGGCAGCAACAACCTTGGTCTTGGCCGTTCATGCCTTGGGCTATTCCTCCATGTCCCTATCCTACTTCTTCTTGGGCCAGGCCCAATGCACCAAGGCATGCTGGAATTTTAGGATCACGCCCACAACAGCAGCAAGTTTACTCTGCAGCAGTTCAACCAACGCCCACGGATATCGAGGCAGCAATGCACACCCTCGGTCTCACTCCTCCGGATCCGAATTGGTACATGGACACCGGTGCCACTTCCCACATGACTTCCGGGCAAGGTAATCTCACGTCTTACTTTAATTTGAGCAAAAATCGTGGTATAATTGTTGGTAATGGTCATACAATTCCAATTCATGGTTATGGTCACACGAACTTGTCTCCCCCGAACCCTCCCCTATCCTTGAAAAATGTTCTTCATGCTCCTCAAATTATTAAAAACTTAGTTTCAGTGCGGAAATTTACAACTGATAACTCGGTTTCTGTTGAATTTGATCCTTTTGGGTTTTCTGTGAAGGACTTTCAGACGGGGATGCTTCGAATGAGATGTGAGAGCCGGGGTGAGCTTTATCCCATCACCACCACCTCAAATCAAGCCACTTCCCCATCTACTTTTGCGGCTTTATCACCATCATTATGGCATGAACGTTTGGGTCACCCGGGAGCACCTGTTTTTAACTCCCTTAGGCTAAATAAATTTATTGAGTGCAATCAAACTCGTAATTCCCATGTTTGTCACTCTTGTCCTCTTGGAAAACTTGTTAAGTTGCCGTTTGTTTCTTCAAATTCATGCACTATTATGCCATTTGATATTATCCATAGTGATCTTTGGACATCTCCTGTTTTGAGCTCTTCGGGCCACAAATATTATATGTTATTGGTGGATGATTTCTCTAATTATTTGTGGACATTTCCTTTGTCGAAAAAATCACAAGTTTTTTCCACTTTTCTAGCCTATAGAGCTTTCATCCGTACCCAATTTGAACGGGAAATAAAGAACATTCAATGTGATAATGGTAGAGAATTTGATAATGGGCCTTTTTGGGAGTTTTGCAAGGTTAATGGTTTATCTTTTCGCTTATCTTGTCCTCATACTTCGTCACAAAATGGAAAAGCCGAAAGAAAAATCCGAACCATTAACAACATCACTCGTACTTTATTAGCTCATGCATCTTTACCTCCTTCGTTTTGGCATCATGCATTGCAAATGGCAACATACCTTCTCAACATTCTTCCAAGTAAACAATTAGCCTATCAATCCCCCCTCCAACTTCTATATCGAAAAGACCCTTCGTATTCACATTTACGAGTTTTTGGTTGTTTATGCTATCCCTTAATTCCTTCCACTACCATAAACAAACTTCAACCTCGTTCCACTCCTTGTGTCTTTTTGGGTTATCCATCTAATCATCGTGGTTACAAATGTTATGATTTATCCTCTCAAAAAATCATCATATGTCGCCATGTATTTTTTGACGAAGCCCAATTCCCGTTTGCTAAAATCCACACTCCACAATCTCATACCTATGATTTCTTGGATGATGGGTTGTCTCCATATGTCATTCACCATTGGGCTTCTCAATATGGCCCAAACACTAAGCCCCTTGCTGCCCCTAATCAGCTCAGTCAGCTCCCCCTTGCTCCTGAGCCCAATTCACCAGGCCCATCATCCCCCTTGCTTGACCAACCTGGCAGCTCTACTGGGCAGCCCACTTCGCCAGGCCCAGCGAGTGGCAGCAGTCCACCGCCAGCTCTTTCCTCTCAGGCCAGTCCTATTCCAGCTCAAAGACCGATTACCCGCAGCCAACGAGGGATCTTTAAACCCAAGAAACAATTTAATCTCAACATAACTGTGAGTAAATCCCCGTTGCCTCGTAACCCCGTGTCGGCCCTTCGTGACCCGAATTGGAAAATGGCTATGAATGATGAATTTAATGCTCTTATTAAAAATAAGACGTGGGAGTTGGTGCCCCGTCCACTTGATGTTAATGTGATTCGTTCAATGTGGATTTTTAGTCATAAAGAAAAATCTGATGGCACTTTTGAGCGGCATAAAGCCCGTCTTGTAGGTGATGGAAAAACTCAACAGGTGGGTGTAGATTGTGGTGACACCTTTAGCCCGGTGGTCAAACCGGCGACGATTCGCACTGTTCTCAGTTTGGCCCTCTCAAAAGCATGGCCCATTCACCAACTTGATGTGAAAAATGCTTTCTTACATGGAGAACTCAAAGAAACTGTGTATATGCATCAACCCGTTGGATATCGGGATCCAGATCGTCCTAATCATGTATGCTTGTTGAAGAAATCTTTGTACGGGCTCAAACAAGCCCCTCGGGCTTGGTACAAGAGATTTACTGACTATGTTTCTTCTCTTGGGTTTTCTCACAGTACTTCTGATCATTCACTCTTCATTTACCGTAAAGGTAATGCTACAGCATACATTCTTCTATATGTGGATGATATTATTTTGACAGCTTCCTCTGAGACTCTTCGCAAGTCTATCATATCTCTTCTTAGCTCAGAATTTGCTATGAAAGACTTAGGGCCATTGAGTTATTTCTTGGGCATCGCTGTAACTCGTCATGCAGGTGGTCTATTCTTATCTCAGAGGAAATATGCAGCAGAGATCATTGATCGGGCCGGCATGTCATCCTGTAAGCCTTCGCCTACTCCGGTTGACACCAAACCGAAGCTCAGTGCTAGTTCTAGCACACCATATGAGGATCCCTCTCATTATCGGAGCCTTGCAGGGGCTCTTCAGTATCTCACATTCACGAGACCCGATATTACTTATGCTGTGCAACAGGTGTGTTTATTCATGCATGACCCGAGGGAGGAACACATGCACGCTCTCAAGCGCATTGTGCGCTACATTCAGGGTACTCTTGATCATGGCTTACATCTATATCCATCTTCTACATCTACTCTCATTTCCTATACTGATGCGGATTGGGGTGGATGTCCGGATACCAGACGATCGACGTCTGGTTATTGTGTGTTTCTTGGTGATAACTTGATCTCTTGGTCCGCCAAACGGCAAGCTACCTTGTCACGTTCGAGTGCGGAAGCGGAATACCGGGGGGTTGCCAATGTGGTTAGCGAGTCTTGTTGGTTACGAAATCTTCTTTTGGAGCTTCATTGTCCTATTCGGAGAGCTACATTGGTGTATTGTGATAATGTTAGTGCGATATATTTATCTGGTAACCCTGTTCAGCATCAACGCACTAAACATATCGAGATGGATATTCACTTTGTCCGCGAAAAGGTTGCTCGGGGCGAAGTTCGTGTCTTACATGTTCCGTCTCGTTATCAGATTGCCGATATCTTTACGAAGGGCCTTCCTTTGGTCCTATTTGAAGATTTTCGGGACAGTCTCAGCGTACGACTACCTCCCGCTTCGACTGCGGGGGTGTGTTAGAATATATGTTAATATATTTTGTATTAGGCAATTATATTAGTAATCTTGTATATTTGTTAGGAGTATATTTAGTTCCCATAATTGTAGCCTAAGATTACGTAATTGTAGCCTAAGATTAGTCTTGTACTATGTGTATATAAGCCTAATCAAGTGAATGGAATAATCAAGGAATTAACTTCTTTCAATACATTTTTTTAAAGCTATACAATTAAAAAGGATGAAAGCAGCCTATTAAGCAAAAATTAGCATAACACCCGATTCAAACCTAACAAACGCATGCAGAGACATTTCAACCAGAGAAAAGTGAGGGCTCATTAGTTAACTAATTAGCTAGTGTACTGATAGTTTGACTTTAATTTGCCAAAAAAATTTAAAGGGCAATTTAAAATTGAGAGAACGATAGAGAAACAATTACCGGCTTACTGTGGATCCCGAGCTGAGCCCAAGTGATCACCTCAAGCAGTTCCTCAAGAGTCCCATATCCACCTAGAATCATATATATCAGAAAACAACGATGGGAACAGTAGCCACATATGTAATAAATAGGATGAAGGTGAAAGTAAATAAATTTTACCGGGCAAAGCGATGAAAGCATCAGCTTGGCGAGCCATCTCAGCTTTCCTCTCATGCATATTAGAAACAGCTCGAACTTCTCCACAAGTCTCCCCGGTAATCTAATAATCATAAGCACCAGAATTCTATTGAGATAATAATTTAAATGTAGCTATGTGGATGATTTATCGAAGGAACCCGCTAAGAGCACTAATAATTTTGGTTTTTATAGGATTTAGAGAATTTGGTTTTACCCTTTCAGCCTCAGAGAAAGAGAAAATTATTTTCTGACAAATAAACCTGAAAGTGCTAGAGTAAAAAAAAAAAAAAATTCACTCAGTGGGTCTTTTTGCAACAATAGACAGAGGGTCTATCTGCAATTGGGCGATAGTACAGGACTTATCCACAACTATACCTAGAACTTGAAACAAATGTGAAATTTCTGACATTTAGAAATATAATAGATTTTGCGTAACATGACCAGAAAATAAAATATGAACCTTGATTAAGTAAGGTCCTAACATGTGGCATCTACATATAAGAATCTTATGCAGATAATGTTGTAAAAGGCAAGACAAAATGTCTCCTAAGAATTAAAGAATCTTACATGAAGCTAGCCAGTTTGTTGAAGTTTTGACAAAAACTACATAGATTAAGTAACTTCTGGCGCAATTAATTAGCCAACTAAACTTAACAACCAACACAACTTCCAAAGTATCCCTCCCTACTGCGAAACTTTAATATGATGGGTAACAAAATGCAAACCAAGAGACAAAGAATATAACAAGACTTATCACATATCAGACAAAAAATTCAAAGTGTGTGCTTTGTTCCCTTGAATATGATGAGGTCTTAAAAGTCAAGTGCTTCATCTTCTAGAGAATTAAAAAGTTGAAGATTATTAATTAAACATAAATAATAGAATTTCTTGGTCTGAACTTACCTCCTTGGGCATCAGAGACCTCGGAATGACTCTGCAAGGAAGCAACAAACAATTACAAGAATGAAGAATTAGTCAATTCGTTGCATAATTGCAAGGTTGAAATTTAAGTAGAAAGAAATTAAAAATAACGGAGCTTAAGTTTACATGATTGATAAAAAAAGAGAAAGTTTGACCCCAAACATTATTTAGATTTACCAGAAGGTCAACATAAATTGACCTCCAAGCCAACATATCACAAAATTTAAAAGTAAAAAGAACTAATTATACCTAGAATTAAAATACTAAGCTAGTTTTTGAAAGAATACTTGATCGTTGAATCTCTCTCTCAAAGGGCCTTTCTACTCCTGTACATAATTTATAATGTGAAAACTACGACATTTTGAAAATTAGATACAACTAGATTAAAAAAAAGGTTAACCCCCCCCCCCCCCCCCAAGGCAACTTTGGAGCGTGTTGCGCGCATGACATAAACCGCGTGAACTTTGTTTATCTCACAATACCTTCCCTGAACTATGGTACTCACAAAATGCCCCCTAAACTTTACCTTATCTCACTTAGACCCCCTACCTGTAATTTGCAAATAACTAAAATTTCTTGAGAGAAACGAACTCAAAATTTTGGGAGGGAGTATGTTGCATGTAAATGACAAGCGACAAAGTTTGGTATTTTTTTCCCGCTCAAAGTCATTTTAGTTATTCGAAAATTACACGCAGGGGTAATGTGAGATAAGATAAAGTTTAGGGAAGGTTTTGTGAGACATCACATAGTTCAGGGGGATTATGTGCAACAACCCCCAAAATTCAGTGGAGTTTCGTGAAATTGACCCAAATAGGGGACCCAAGGCTTGAGACATGTGAGGTGTCATCGTCCGGTTGCATGATGCACTGTTTATATCATACACTGTTCATGAACAGTGCATCATGCAACCGGATGATGACACCTCACCTGTCTCATGTCATGGGTTCCCTATTTGGGTCTTTGAGGCATTAATGTAAAAAAAACATATACCAAGCCTGGAGCAAAACAACAGCAATAAATTCATCTAAACTACTAACTTAATGAAGGACCAAAAAAAGTGCAGTATTCAGCATGCTTTACATGCCAGTCCTAAAATCAAGAACCCATTTTCTACATTTACAGCATAATAATGAGAGAAAAAGTGACTGTAAACATTAATAATCACAATCATAGTTGTGAGAGGGGGAGAGAGAGAGAGAGAGAGAGAGAGAGAGAGAGAGAGGACCCCAAGACATGGCGGCCTCCATCATGAACAGCTTGAGAGACGAGGCCCATCAGTCCTATACTTCCACCTCCGTACACCAAATCAATGTTTCTCTCCACCTACAGTAAAAAAAACCAAAAATTTTAAATCCCATAAAACCAAAATTAATACGATTATTTGCGAAGTAAAAAAAAAAAAAACTCCTCTTTCGAGATGGGGGGTAAAAAAAAGAACCAAAATTAACCACAAAAATCAGTTTCCGCAGAGATCATGCAAGAAAGCTGCGCATCATCCAGGTGGACTACAGCTAGCAATCCAACAACATTACACCCATCTTCCTACCTCCATAACATTTTTCAATGGAAGTAAAAATCAGTGAAAACCCATTAAGCCCAATACTATCTCATCATCACAGAACAAAAAAGATTGAATTTTGCAAATCTAGAGAAAGACCACCGTGTTAAAAACCTCAACTGGGTCTCTCTAAAAATCCACAAGTAAGTTGGGAAAAAAAACCAATATCTAAAATTTTTTTTTTTTTTGTGCCTCCTCTCAATACCAGTTCATTGCCAAGCTCAATGGCAGCTTCTTGATATCTAGCTTTCTTCCCTGGACTGCTCCCACAAAAAACACAAACCCTCTTGAATTTTGAGCTCTTCGCCTCAATTAATTGATCCAACTCAATGTTTTTCTTCTCTTCCTCCATTTTGCTTCTTCTCCCTGCTCAAAGAAGAAGGACTTGAGAGTTTTGAGAGAACAAGGTGGGCTTTTATAGTAGTAGGCACAAAGGAGGGGACTATGGTTATCAGTGCATATCTATGTCAATAAATGAGTATTATATGAGCATTAGTTTCATTCACTTTATAAATGATCATTATATGGTGCGATTTTGTTTCTTTTTATGGAGATTTTGGGTGGGTCCTTTTCTAGTGATTTTATTGTGAGGCAGACCAGATGAATCGTTTTTTTAATCACATTTTGTATAATTTTTGAGAGAAATTTTCTTTTCCGAAAAATAGAAAGTTTGTGGGGGTTTTTGATGGATTTTTTAAAGACGGGTGTTGCTACAGGGACCCAAATAGAGGATCCAAGGCATGAGACATGTGAGGTGTCACCATCCGGTTGCATGATGTACTATTCATGAATAGTGTATCATGTAACCGGATGGTGACACCTCACATGTCTCATGCCTTGGGTCTCCTATTTGGGTCCTTAAGACATTAATGTTTTGTTATTTCAAATTTTACCGTCTAAATTGTCAAATTATTCACATTTCTGCCCCTCAAGCTAACTTACAAAGAATCATGAGTGGAATATTCTATTAAAGTAGTTTCGACGTTTTAAAGTTGTCTTATTTACCCTTCAGTATATATAAATGTAAAGGTGTAAATTAAATTCTTCAGTAATAGAATTGCCCCCATTTCTTTCTTTCTCAAATTCTTCGTTAAGGGTGTGTTTGGCAACCATGAAGTAAATGGAAAGTGTACCGATAGGGATGTCCATCCGACCCGACCCGACCCAGCCTGACCCGGAAAACCGGGTCTGGTCCGGGCAAAAAAATCGGAGCTCGGACCCGGTTGCCCCGGGCCGGGTCAGGGCGTGAGCGGGCCGGCCCGGTTTTTATAATTTTTTTAAATCTCTTTAAAACTCTAATTTTACATAAAAAAATTACACAAAATTTTAATAAAAAACAATAATATTATTAATCACTTGAAATTACATAAATTACAAATACAAAAAATTATAAAAAAAACAGATGATAAAAATAACTTCTTTATTAATAATCAGTAAATTATTTACAAGTATAAATTTATTTCGGAATCCGTCGCATCATAATAGATGAGTACATCCCAACTAGGTTGGCACCTACTCACCTATATCTCTATCATTTGCAACTATTTTCAAAATAATTCATTACAAAATTTAACTAAGAAATAAAAATTATAATTTGATGAATATTATTTAATCTTTATATCTGCTAGTCCCAATTCTTCAAATTTATCTTCAATTCCAGCTAGCCGATCGATGTCTTGCATTCTCTTCTCGTACCTCCACCAATCTTGTAAGCACATCACCGCCTGTACAATATACGGATCTAACGATGTCCCTATGGTCGTCGATCAAACGTCCTGCTGTGCTGAAGGCAGATTCCGAAGCTAACGTCGAAACTTGCACTGTTAGTAAATCACAAGCCATGATGGAAAATATAGGATATAAAACTGATCCATATACTCTCCACCATTGTAAAATATCTAAATTATTATTTTAACATTTAACTAAAGAAGCAGATAAATATTCATCTATTTCAAAAACCTCTAATGATGATCCAAATCCAGATCCACCAGTTAGTTTAGCTACCATTGCATAACTATCAAAATTTACACTTTTACCTCGACTTGAGCTCGAAGAAGTTGAAACTGTAGACTGTTGTGCAGCTACACCATGTTTAGCTGTATACTCATCATATAAGGTTTGAAAATAATTTCTAATAACATTATGGTGAGAAGTAACAGTAATGGTGGATCCATCATCTAAGTCTATAATCTGATTATTATACAATGATTGTAACAAATTTCGAAGGCCGATATCATTCAATTACGGATCAATAAGAACCCCCAAATCAAAAATATGAGGAATATGCCTAAAATACTTATTAAATTTGCTCTCCATTTGAAAAATTATAGCTCCAAAAGTATCATCTATACGATATTTAGCAAATTTTTTTGAATATTTAAAGTTTGTAAAGCAGCTAAAGTAATGGTCGGATAATAACATCCAGATAATAATATTGTAGCATCATAAAAAATTTGTAACATCTCTTTTAAATCACTTATAATTGTTCATTCCTCTTCAGTTATTCCATAGGTGATACCAGAGCTAGAACTAGAAGAATAATAAGCAATAAAATTATTTATAATTTCTTTATATTGCATTGCTACACTTAACATTGCATAGGTGGAATTCTACCTATGGTCAACATCTTTTGGAATTAGTCTAGGCTTTACTTTTTTTCTTTTACAGAATTGTTTCCATCTTCTAATTCTTTGTTCAGAAGTATTATGCATATAATTTACTAACCTAACCTTTTCTATCATGGGTTTAATTTCAGTAAATGTACTTTGAACAATTAAATTTAAAATATGACAGATGCATCTAATATGAAAAAGATCACCATGACATGACAATGACAGAGTTGTTTTGATAAAATCAACAACAATATTATTGTTACTTGCATTATCTAGTAAAAGAGAAAATATTCTTTCTAAAATTTCTAGTTTCATAAGTTCTTCAATTATTAATTTTACAACATTAATATCAGTATGTGACTCTTCAATTGCAATAAATGAAACAACTCTTTTAAACATTTGTTAATTTTTATCAATTCAGTGTACTTATGATGTGATGCATAATAACCAATTTGTGCTTTAGATGTCCAAATATTAGAAGTTAAAAAAATTTACAATTTAAACTTTGAAAATAAGAAATTATTTTTACTCGTTCCTCTTGATAGTGTTTTAAAATATCACGTTAACAAGTTTGATAATTTTTTTTAAATGTGGGGTAAAAACAATCTGTAAATAAATCTTCAAATTCATCATCTTCTACTAATCTAAAAGGAAGATTCTTAAGAATGATTAACCTGATAACGTATTTCCTGGCACGGGCTGCATCATAACTCCAACTTCCGAGACTACCAGAAATTGAGGATTGCGAGATCATAGATTGTCAGATATCACCTTGAGGCGTATGGCCTCTGTTGTGTTTATCTAAATGGAATTTGAGGTGGTTGGTGCCGCTCTTATGATGAGCTTGGAAAATCTTGCCACACGACGCATATTTAGCCTTTTGGGTGAGGATCCTACCGTGTTCATCCTTGGTGACGTCTATCTTCTCGTAAAAATTTCACACATCAGATCTAGGCCTTTTAGGAGCTCTTGGTGTAGAATCGTCACCACCGGGTCCGGGATTAACATCGGTAGGAGTAGACCCGATAGGAGGACTCATTTTAAAACCGAGAGATAGGTTTTGCCCTTCATAATCAGATCCGAAAGCCATTTGATTGAAGAATTAGAGAGTATATGAGATTAGAAGAGAGAAGTGGATGAGTTTTGGTGTGAGGAAAACAAATGAAACCCTCCTCTATTTATAGAGGCAGCTCCCTAGGCAAATGACCAAAATACCCTCACCATGTGATCGTTTTTGACTGTTTTTAGGGGCAAAATGGTCAAAATAGGCAATTTGGCCGTTATGATCGGGCCTGACCGGCCCGGCCACAACGGTCACAAACGTGACCATTTTGGCATAAACAGTCATAATTGTGACCATTTATGTCGGGCTGGGCTGGGCCAACCCGGCCCGGCCCGGCTTTTGCTCCGAGCCAATCCCGGGCCGGCGGGTCATTTAGACAGCCCTATGCACTGAGAATTGAAAAATGGCTTCACTTTTTATTTTTATCCCGTTTGACACTTGACAAGTGATTGGAAAGTTGAGAGTCTCATATCAGGATTTTAGCGTATGTCACTTTCTCCAAAAATTAGAGAAAGTGGATGGAAAGTGAATTCATAGGAGAGTGAAAATATATTTCTAGACTTTTACGTGTCATTTTAGTTTTACTTATTCGCTTTCTACTATTACTTTTTGCGATAACTAAACATAACAAAAAGAGAGCAAATGCCACATCATTTGTCACCTCGGCTTTCTATCCTTTTACTTTCTAACATCTAAACAAGATTTTATAAAATGAAAAATAATAAGAAAGCACCTTCATAGGAAAGCAATTTTTCTTTTTCTTTCACTTTCTATTTACTTTTCCCTTGCCCTAATTCTCTTTGTTGCAACCAAAGGCCTCTGACGAGGACCCACCACAACCTAACTTATGTTGGGTCCTTTTGTTTTGATGATGATTAACAAATAATTTACAACTAATATTGTTTGTCTAGTGTTTTGTATTTTGTATTTATTCTAGGCAAACAACACATTGGAGGTTGGATGAAATTGCGCTTCAACGATCATATCCAATGGAGGTTGGCAGAATAGTAGAATAAAACAATACAATTCAAGTTGAAGATCCAAGTTCAAGCTTTATCCGCAAGTGTACCAAGATAGAGCTTTGTTGAAGATCATAAGCTTGGGTAATTAGTTTAGGAGTTTATATTATGTGTGTTGGTACTTTAAGCTCAATCATATACACACATACACATTTTGGTTTTGTATATATATAGTTATATATATATACATATATGTTTTGGTTTAGCAATATAGATATGAAACAATATATACACTTTTATATGTTTCATATTCTATTGTATTTGGAAAAATATTATGTTTTTGGTTTATATGGTTTATATACTTAACAACTATAGTTTATACTTTTTTATCAAGTCTATAAAATTGTTTTACAAAGTTTCAAAACTTGGTTTATGTCAAAACATCAAAATTCAAGTATGTTTAGTTTTCATGTTTTGGACATATTTGCAAAATGATGATATTTTATATTTGGGAGGTCCTTTTTGAAAACTAGTTTTTTTAGCATGTTTATTATCATGTCTACAATTATTTTCCAAAGTTTTACATTTTTCTAATTTTATTTGCTATTTTTAAAGGTAGTTTGAAAATCAGATTTTCTGTTTTAAACAGGCTGATAACCTGTTATCAGTCAACTGGCCAGTCGACTGATGACATCAGTCGACTGATGACATCAGTCGACTGATGTGTCGACTGAAGAAATCGCCTAGAATATTAAAAAGTTTCTGTTTTGTTTCAGTCGACTGATCAGTCGACTGATGAAGTCATTGGTCGAC